GAAAAGGTACATTACCTTGAGGGTCCCAATATGGGCCATGTGTTTGCCCATCGGTGCTGTTTTCTCCACGACGCATGTGTCCGATTGCTGCCCCCAGCGCGAACCATATAATAGCGAAAACGACTAGCCCGAGAATGTGTAACGAAGGACGGTTATGATGCGCGTTGTCGCGCTGGGGTAGCGCCTTGTCGAGTCTTCGAGGCGCTCTGTCTGGCGGGTCTCCCCGCCCCTGCTTCAAGTATTGCGCTGTTAGCTCGTTGCCGAGCGGTTGGTGGTAACGCAATGATGAAGCGTATATGGTACCAGTCTGGTCGTCTAGACGTCGTACCTCTCGTGTTGCTTCTTGCTCTTGGATAGATCCTCGTAAACGTACTGGGAGTGGTGGCGCAGGGTGGTAGGTAGTCGCGAAGATCATGCCGAAGAATATGAAGCTAAGAAGAGCAAGAGCTGACCACACGAGAGTGCGGCCAGCTCCGCTACCAAGTCGAAAGTGAGCCTGGTAGCTCAAATATGGCATATAGCCTGGCAAATTGCGTCCATCGCTCTGCTGTGAAGGTACAGTATGAGGGGTGGACGGATAAGATAGGATAAGATCGATGTACTGATCTTTCCAGCACATAGCGAACACTCGCGGTGTCCGGGCAAATAGGGCGCGCGTGCCCTGGGCCAAAGGCAACGGCGCGCGAGCTATGCTCCCGATACTGTAACATCTCCCAAAGAGCTACCCTTAAAGTCTGACCACGCTGGCGCAGCCAGATGCACTGGCAAAAACGCCAAAATCCTGGAACCGAAATCTCTGGAGGTCGCCGCAGCTTCCCTTTGAAAAAACACTAAAAGGCGTCAGAACACCTCCGGATGAGCAGCGAAGGAGGGCCCAGAACCTCTCAGCCCCCTCCCTGGGGCAAGTTTTTCGGCCAAGCTCTTTTTGTGGACGCTCCTCGGGGACCAGGAAAGGCCCGGAAGCCTGAAAATTGCAACAACAATCAATTTGAGACTGTTCGCTCTTATCTGCTCGCGTGCCATGCACCACGCATCCGCCACCGTGGCTCTGGCACGAAGTGGAGTGCCCCATAGCTCATGCAGCACTGAGAGGTAGACACTGTGCTGTTGCTGCTGCAACTGCTGCTGCTGCTGCTGCTGCTGCTGCTGCTGCTGCTGCTGCTGCTGTTGCTGCTGCTGCTGCTGCTGCTGCTGCTGCTGCTACTGCTACTGCTACTGCTGCAGCGAAAACTGTAAGTATTAAGGGCCCGGCTGGCTGCTCCCATGAGTGCTGAAGTGTTTCCTGCGCCTCCCGTGGACGCTTTGCCCCCCAAACAGACTTTCCGAATCCTTCCCTGAGTCCAAAAGGGCCCCGAGTCGCCGAACGATTGATCCAAGACGCCCAATATGGCCTCAAAATGGCCCAAAATGCCTTCAAGAGGCCTCCCGAGAGGGTCTCAAGAGGCAAAAGTAATTGATTTCCCTTTGGAGTTTGAAAGATTTGACCGTTCTCGCCTTTTTGACGTTCCGACGCTCCAAGACGGCCCAAGAGGCCCCCAAGATCACCCCAAGACGGCCCAAAAGGCCTTCAAGAGGGCCGAAGAGCACCCCAAGACGGCCCAAGAGGCGCCCAAGACGGCCCAAGGGGGCCCCAAGACGTCCCCAAAAGGAGCCCAAGAGAGGGAGCACGAACCAAACATATGAGCCTTCCTCCCCGAGAGGCCCCCAGAAGGCCTCAAGAGGCAACCAAGAGGCCCCAAGAGACCCCAAGAGAGGCCCAAAACAGGCCACACAACGGCCTCCAAGAGGAGTCAAAACTGCCTCCAAGAGGCCCCCGAGAAGCCCTCACGAGACCCCAACGAACATCCAATATGGCTTATACCCACTACCCAGGAACGGTGGCGGGATGGGCCGAAAACCATTAGACCTGGCCCGGCACAGAAACGGAAAGAGCGCTTCAGAAACAGAAACCGAAATTACTCACACCACCGTTCGTACTGGGAGCCTTGGCGTTGAGAGCTTGTTACGTCACCCCTCGCTCTTGGGAGCCTTGGTGTTCAGAGATTGTTGCGTTGCCGCCCGTTCCTGAGCCTTGGCTGGGCCTTGGTGTCAGGAACTTGTTACGTCACCGCTCTCTGCTGGGAGCCTTGGTCTTATCAGCTTGTTTACGTCACTGTTCGCTCTTGGGAGCCTTGGTGTGAAGAGCTTTTTGCGTTACCGATCGCTCTCTATTTGGCGTCTCTGGGCATTGTTGGGAGTCCTATTGGGGCCCTTGTCGGGCCCTTTTGGAGGCCTCTTGGGAACCTCTTGGGGGCCTCTTGGGGCTTCTTGGGGGGCTCTGGGGGCCTCCTGGGAGCTTCTTGGGGCGAAAGGCTAGATTTTTCGGTTCGTGGTCCCCCTCTTGGGCCGTCTTGGGGCCATCTTGGGCCGTCTTGGCGCCCTCTTGGGCCGTCTTGGGGCCCTCTTGGGAGCCTCTTGGGCCGCCTTGGGGCGGTCTTGGGGGCCTCTTGGAGCGTCTTCAACGCAGTGAAAGCCGAAAAGCCTTGTATGCTAAAAATATACCTTTTCCCTTAGAAAATCAATGATTTTCGCCTCCTGTGGCCTCTTGGGACGCCTCTTGGGGGCCTCTTGGGGCGTCGTGGGGGGCTCTGGGGGCCTCCTGGGAGCGTCTTGGGGCGAAAGGCTAGACTTTTCGGTTCGTGGTCCCCCTCTTGGGGCCGTCTTGGCGCCCTCTTGGGCCGTCTTGAGCGCCTCTTGGGCCGTCTTGGGGCCCTCTTGGGCCGTTTTGGGTGCCTCTTGGGAGCCTCTTGGACCGTCTTGGGGCGGTCTTGGGGGCCTCTTGGGCCGTCGTCAACGCCGTGAAAGCCGACAAAGCGCATATGCTAAAAATATACTTTTTCCTATAGAAAATCGATGACTTCCGCCTCGTGGGGCCCTCTTGGGACGCCCCTTGGGCGCCTCTTGGGGGCCTCTTGGGGGCCTCTTGGGGGCCTCTTGGGCCGTCTTGGGCGGTGTTGGGCTCTCTTGGAACGCTCTTGGGCCGTCTTGGGGGGGAACCCGAAAAGCATGCAAAAACCCGAGGGAAAACCCGAAAACGGCCATTAACACGCAAATGCGCACCCTGCCCCTCTCCCCTGGAACCCCTCCCTTTAAGGCTTCGCCCACACCAGAACGTCATCACTCGTACCTCGCTCTTTCCGTTATCCGCCGCCCCCCGTTGATTTATAACAGGGGTGCGCGGCATGCTAGACTTCTTACGATGTGGTTTTGGTTCTTTTCCAAAAGAACTCCACCTGGGGATTCGGCCCGTCCCGCCGGCCACCCGGAAAGCCACCGAAAATCGACCTGTCAATGCCTTTCTCGCTCCAAGATGGCCCAAGATGGCCTCCAAGGCAGCTCAGCTGGCCTCGAAGACGGCCGAAGAGCGCCCAAGATACCTCCAACTCCGCCCAAGAAGTCTCCAACATGGTAGAGGCCTCCAAGACGGCCCCTGAGGCCCCCAAGATGGCCTCCAGGAAGGCCCGAAGGCCCGAAGAGGCCAAATTATTGATTTTCCTTAGGTTGTTGAAGAATTTGGGCATTTGCTTCTGTTCGGCCTTCCGACGGCCCGAGACGGCCCAAGAGCCCCACGAAGGTCGCCCCAAGATCTCCCAAAAGGCCTCCAAGATGGCCCCAAAACAGCCTAAGAACCCCCGAAGACGGGACAAGGAAGGCCCCAAGACGGCCCAAGAGGCCTCGAAGACGCCCAAGATGGCCTCCAAGACTGCCCTGGAGCACCCCAAGAGAGCCCCAAGTCGGCGCAAAGAGGCCCCCAAGATGGCTCCCGACGGCGTCAGACGGGCCGGAATGCCCTAAGACGACCAAAGAGGCCCCCGAGAAGCCCCCGAAGGCTCCCAAGAGGCCCGAGGGGGCCCCAAGATGCCTCCAAAAGGCTCCAAGGAAGCTCTCAGGAGGCCGCCTCCTCCTCATCCTCCTCCTTCTCCTCCTCCGCCTCCTCCTCCGCCTCCTCCTCCTGATCTTCCCCGCAATCGTCCTCCAAGTGTTCCCCGAAGGGTTTCTACAACGGCTGGGGGAACACATGGCCCGATAGCTTGGCAGAGCTCTTGCCACAACGCTCGGCCACATGGGTGATTCCAAAAGGCAGTGGGCGGCGGTGATTCGCCGTAGGCGTCTTCGATATCCCAAACCCTCGATACCCGCCCTCTTGTCTTCGATCATGCCCCCCTTGGGGGTAAATCTTCCTTACCTGCAACGTGTAGTTGGCGCCGCCCAGAAAACAGGGGCAAGGAGGAGGGAAAAGGATGGAGCACGAGAGAGATTTGCAGGAGGGGGTTAGAAGCAGGAGCACAAGCGGCAGAACCAGACGGGCGAATCGAGCGGGCGGACCCTAACGGGCAGGTCGAGTGATGCGGCCGGTTCGAGCGGGCGGGTCGCTGAAGCGTCAATCAAGCATGAATCGCAAGGAAGTTTCGAGCGATAGCGCGATTCACAAGTACATCGTGAGGAAATCCAAAGCGGGAGCGTGGTTCCTGTGTTGGGGACATAGCGCCGCCACAAGTTGCGGGGAATTGCCACGCGAGAGCGCGATTCCTGGATACATAATGAGGATGTCCCGCGCGAGAGCGCCCCTTCGAAATAAACTGAAAGGTCGGTCTACGCCATCTTTCGAGCAAGATCGATATGTGAGGGTCACGGGACCCGAAACGGAGCCATAATGCCAGGCTCGGACGAAGAGGATGAAGAGGAGGAGGACGACGAGCATAATGCAGCAGGCAGCAGGGAGGAGGAGGAGGAGGAGGATGAGGAGGAGGAGTAGGAGGAGGAGGAGGAGGAGGAGGGAGAGGAGGAGGAGGAGGAGGGGAGGAGGAGGAAAGAGGAGGAGGAGAAAGAGGAAAAGGAGGAGGAGGAGAAGGAGGAGGAGGGGCAGGAAAAAAGGAAAAAGGGCGGATAAGGGAGGAGGAGTAGGCAGAGGAGGAGCAGAAGCGCGGCGGGCGGCGGAGGCTGGCACCCCCCCAGCAGGCCTGCCCCCACGGCGGTCGTCGCGGCCCCCGCGGCGGTCGTCGTCGTCGCCGGGGTCCCGGCCGACGCCGCGGCTGTAGGGCCGCGGGGGGCTGGGGCTCCTCGCGCGCCTGGGCCGCGCGGGCACGCGGAGCCCCTGAGATCCTCCTCCTCCTCCTCATCCTCCTCCTCCTCCTCCTCCTCCTCCGCCTCCTCCTCCGCCCTCAATGTTTTTCGAGCCGGAGGTTTTGCCCAGAAAAGGGCCCTAGGACCCTCAAACACATCGATCTGACTCGACAAATAGCCGCACAACGATGGTCGTAAGTTTTCATGATGCTTCATCTGTCTCGCGACGTCGGATCTCAGGGAGGGGCGCTCGCCGCTGCGGGATCGCGAATCTCGAGGATCCCATGCAGATGAGGACCAACCTTGATATTGTCCCTGTCCCTAAGATGGACAACAAGCAAAAGGCGATGACAAGCTCGGGGATGCGCCCTCAGAAACTGATAAAATCCTTAAGATCGGCATCGAGATCAGGTGGTGCCAATCATAGGGACAGGGACACACGGAGGTTGGAGGCATGTAGAAGGGCACCAACACCAACACACGGAATTGCCTCCACCAGCGGAAGACGATCCTAGTTGTTGGTCTTGGCGGTGATACTTCGGCCACCCAGGAAGCCCGAAGATTACCACCATCACCGAGATCGGGATCATCTTCCCTCGGTGGAGGCACACCGCCGAGATTGGTGCTGGTGTCAACCTCCAGGCCTCCGAGGAGGGGAGCTCTCTGCTGCAGGATCGCGGATCTCGAGAATCGCACGCCATCGAGGGTCGGGGCTCGGAGCAGCCGAGGACCGAGGATCGGGGCAGCCGAGTCCGAGCTTCCTGACGCCCTTGGGCCTCTGGAGGCCTCCGTCAGCCTCCGTGGACCTCCAGGCCTGGCCAGCAGCGGGAGCGCCGGCCACCGCCTGCCGAGCACGCCTCTTGCAGACGCCCAGTGCCCCGCAGGTGCGCACGAAAGAGAGCACGAGCCGATGGCTCGTCCGGCGAGAGCCTCAGAACGAGGGGCGCACGGGGTGCAAGCACTATTGAGCCAAGGCGAGCCAGCAGCATGAGCGGCCAGGGCGGCCCGGGGCCTGCGAGACGCAGGGAGAGGCGAAGCGCTGAGATGCAGCTAAGTTGTGAGGCGGCTGCGTCGCAGTGAATATCGCAGGCTGACGAGGAGTCGGATACACGAGACACGCGTATGGCGCACAGTAAGAAACTTCGTCCTACCTCCTCCTCCTCCTCCTCCTCCGCCTCCTCCTCCGCCTCCTCCTCCTCCTGATCTTCCCCGCCATCGTCCTCCAAGTGTTCCCCAAAGGGTTTCTACAACGGCTGGGGGAACACATGGCCCGATAGCTTGGCAGAGCTCTTGCCACAACGCTCGGCCACATGGGCGATTCCAAAAGGCAGTGGGCGGCGGTGATTCGCCGTAGGCGTCTTCGATATCCCAAACCCTCGATACCCGCCCTCTTGTCTTCGATCATGCCCCCCTTAGAAGTAAACCTTCCTTACCTGCAACGTGTAGTTGGCGCCGCCCCTAAAACAGGGGAAAAAAAGGGAGGAGGGAAGAGACAAGGAGGAGGGAGAAGGATGGAGCAGGAGAGAGATTTGCAGGGGGGGGTAGAAGCAGGAGCACAAGCGGTAGAAGTAGTCCTCATCATCATCATCATCATCATCATCATCATCATCATCATCATCATCAGCAGCAGCAGCAGCAGCATCATCAGCATCATCATCATCATCACCATCATCAGCAGCAGCATCATCATCGACACCATCACCACAACCACCACCATGATCATCATCATCATCATCATCATCATCATCATCATCATCATCATCATCATCATCATCATCATCATCATCATCATCATCATCATCATCATCCACTACCGCCATCACCATCATCATCAGCATCATCATCGACATCATCATTACCATCCTCATCAGCATCAGCATCATCATCATCACCATCACCATCACCATCACCATCATCCTCATCCTCATCCTCATCATCATCCTCCGCATCATCATCATCATCATCATCATCATCATCATCATCATCACCATCACCATCACCATCACCATAACCATCAGCATCGTCCTCATCCTCATCCTCATCCTCCTCATCATCATCATCACCATCATCATCATAATCATCATCATATTCATCAGCATCATCATCATCATCATCATCATCATCATCATCATCATCATAATCATCGTCGTCATCATCATCACCACCACCACCACCATCATCATCATCACCATCACCACCACCACCACCACCACCGCCGCCGCCACCACCACCACACCATCATCATCATCATCATCATCATCATCATCATCATCATCATCATCATCATCATCATCATCATCATCATCATCATCATCATCATCATCATCATCATCATCATCATCATCATCATCATCATCATCATCATCATCATCATCATCATCATCATCATCATCATCATCATCATCATCATCTCTCCCCCTCTTAGTCCCTCCCCTTCTCCCTCCCCCCTCCCAGATCCCTCCCTCCTCCCTCCTCGAAGTGCAGGGGGCGGGGATTTTCGCTTGGTCAAGCTTTTACCAAGGGGGGCTCACAACTGGTGAGCCACCAAGCCTGGCGGGGTGCTTGGGGCTGCTGCGTGTTTTCGCCGCCGGACAGAATGGTATGAATACATCCAACATGCGTATGACTGCTCTCCCACCGTGTGGCCCCCTTTGGGGGACCCAGACGGCGCTGCGACTCTGCACGGGCCAGAAAGCCGAGTCGATCCGATCCTCCCGCCCCTTCATCATGGTCATCATCACCATCACCACCACCATCACCACCATGATAATGTTACTATGTCCAGCGGAAAAAAATCCCATCAGAAAAAATCCCCAGACGACCCCCCAGACAAGCCGGACAATCCCTCCAATATTGATACAATGATCTTTCCAGCATAGAATCACGAGGATGTATCAGGCGAGACTGGCTGGACAACCACGCGCATGGCATCTATGAGCCCATAATTGGGTGCATGCCTCAATTGTGACTGGCCGATGACCTCCTTGAGACAGAGCACATCCGAGCCGAGAATTGCGAAGACGTCTCAGACGAGGCTGGCCGGCCAATCTCTGACGCGCGGCATCTCTGAACCCACAGTTGCGAGGATGTCTCAAGAGAAACTGCCTGAAACACCTCAACAGGGCATCTCAGAGCCCACAGCTGCGAGAATATCTCACGCGAAACTCGCCAAACAACATCGCGCGCGGCATCCTTGGGCCCAAACGTTGGAGAACATCTGATGCGAAACTGGCCAGACCACCTGAGGTCAGAGCATATCGGAGCGTAGAACTGCGAGGAAGTCTCATTCAAAACTGCCTGGACGATCTCGTGCGCAGTATCTCGGAGCCCATCGTTGCGAGGATATCTTAGGCGAACCCAGCTGGACAACTTCGCACGCAGCTCCTCAAAACCTAAAACTGTCACGTTGCCGCAGGCGAAGCTAGCCAGACAACCACTCCTGCGGCATTTCTGAGCCAAGTCGCAAGGCAGTCTCAAGCGAACTGGCTGGACAACCTCGCGCGCAGCATCCCTCGTGCGGATGTGTCTGATTGAGCGGGTTGGACCACCTCGTGCGCGGAAAATTGCGAGTATACATCAGGCGGAACTGGCGCGACCACCTCCCGCGCGCTAGCTCCGAGCCAAGCGTAGCGAGGACGTCTGAGGCGAAACTGGCCAGAGCAACTCGCGCGCGGCATCTCCGAATAACAAGTCGCGAGGGAGTCTCAGGCCGACTAGGCTGGACAATCTCTCACGCGGCATCTCTGAACCCAGAGTCGCGAGGCAATCTCAAGCGGCACTGGCTGGACAACCTCGCGCACAGCATCTGATCAGAATCATAAACATCATCGTCATCATCATCATCATCATCATCATCATCATCATCATCATCATCACCATCATCATCATCGTCATCATCATCATCAGCATCATCCTCCTCCTCCTCCTCCTCCTCCTCCTCCTCCTCCTCCTCCTCCTCCTGCTCCTCATCATCATCATCATCATCATCATCATCATCATCAGCAGCATCATCATCATCATCGTCGTCATCCTCATCATCCTCATCATCATCGTCATCGTCCTCGTCATCGTCATCAGCATCAGCATCAGCATCAGCATCCTCATCATCATCAGCAGCAGCATCATCATCATCATCATCAGCATCATCATCATCATCATTAACATCATAATCAGCAGCAACAGCAGTATCATCCAATATCCTCATCACCACCACCACCAAGATCATCATCATCACCACCACCACCATCACCATCATGATCATCATCATCATAATCAGCAGCATGGTCATAAACATCGTCAGTAGCAACATAAGCATCAGCAGCAGCAGCAACAGCATAATCAGCAGCATCATCAGCATCATCATCGTCATCATCATAACGGCAAGCAACAACTTCAACCATCACCACCACAATCACCATCACCGTCACCATCAGCATCATCAGCATACTCATCATCATCCTTATGGTCCTTGTCGTCGTCATCATCATCATTACCACCATCATCCGCCTCGTCATCATCAGCATCATCATCAGCATCAGCATCAGCATCATCGTCAGCAGCATTATCATAGTAATCATTATCATCATGGTCACGATCATTCCTCCTCCGTCCTCTGAATCTCGTCCCTAAATATTCATCCTTCGGCACTTGTACCTAGAGCACGGCAGGTCCTGCCTCATACAGCAAGCAAGAAGATGAGGCCCAGGAGAACAACGACGGCAAGATCCACAACGGCGATAGCAACGATGGCGGCGGCAACGGCGACTGCGACTGCAGCGACGACGACGACGACGACGACGACGACGACGACGACCGCGACGGGAACGATGGCGACGACGAAAACTGCCACGTCGCCAGCGATTGCCACGACTGAATCGGCGACTGCAACGATGGCGACAGCGACGACGGCGACGACGGCGGTGGCGACGGCGACTGCGACTGCAGCAAGAACGACGGCGACGACGACGACGACAGCGACGACGACGGCGACGGCGAACCAAACCTGCGACATCGTGAGTTTGTTTTCAGCGTGGACCCTGAAGGTCTGCGATCCCCAAGACCGCTGCTTCATGCCGAGCCCTTCTTATTGACGGCAACTGGACCCAGCAGGGACCCTGCGGAGGCCGAGAAAGCGCCCCAAAGACCTCCACCTTGATTCTGTTCAGGGCGCTGACGGCCCACTCTGGCTTCTGTGGCAACGCATGGGCGCCTACAATGCCATCTTGCTGGCTCGTGCGAATCGACACTCATCGACGCTAATCGGCACGAATCGACGCTAATCGACGCCAAATCGACGCGAAATCGGCGCTGCCTCATGGATTACCAAACGCTGGCGCACGCAAATGCACTCCAAAGACGGACCTACAAGAGGCTCCCATGATTGGCTACTGGAACGGGGGCTTCGACGGCGAGGACGATGGCGGTGGTAACGACGACGACGATCCGGGCGGCCCCTGTGCGCGCCGCACGGTGGGCCGGCCTCGGTCGACTGGGGCCAGGGGGGAGAGTGCAGCAGCGAGGCTCCAAAGCCACCTCGCAAAGAGCGACGACGACGACGACGACGACGAGAGCCAGGAGCGCCTCTCCCGGGGAGGCGCCCGCTGGCCGTTCGCGATGGCGAACTGCGCGTCGCTCCCGAGGGGCTTCGGCGCCGCGCCGACGCCTCGGGTGAACGCTCTCTGTTGACAGGTCTTCGAGCGCTTTCGGGGCTCTTGGACCAGAAAACAAACGACAACCCCCCCACCCGCGGCCCCACGGGGCTTAGCGTCTACCAGGAAATCGGGAGCAGGTTTCTGCGTGGTATACGCTACGGCGCCCGATGGGCCGTAGCGCAACATGGAGAGCCGCTGGTGGGGTGATGTCATTTGTTGTTTGGTCGAGCTTTTCTACAGCACCCGCTGTTTCCATAGGCTACGCGCACGTCAGAATAGGCAAGAGACCTTCGGCACGCAGCTTTAAGGGGCCGCGTGGGAGCCAAATCCAAGTGCGCAAGTCAGTGCTGGGGTGACCCCTGTGGGCCCGCACCGAAGGTCATTCTGGCGAAAGATCACTCTTGCGCGCAGCCGCTTCCAGGCAGCAAACACATGCCAACACCCAAAACTCGAGGGGCCCACGAAAGCAGCAAGGAACTCAACTCAGACTCTAATTTGCCGTGTCTGTAAGTCACGTGGTGCGCCATATGTTGGCAAAATGTTCTGCGTTATACTGCACAGAGTGCCACCATACGCCGTGTAGGGCAATCCTGTCAGCACCCTCGCCATCATCATCATCGTCATCATCATCATCATCATCATCACCACCATCAGCATCATCACCACCATCACCACCATCGTCATCATCATCATCATCATCATCATCGTCATCATCAACAACAACATCATCACCATCATCATCGTCACCATCATCGGCATCATCATCAGCAGCATCCTCAGCATCATCATCATCATCAGCATCATCATCGTCATCATCATCAACAACAAGGTCAACAATATCATCAGCAGCATCATCATCCGCATTGTCATCATAATCATCATGCTCACCATCGTCAAGTTCATCATCATCGTCATCACTGTCACAGTCACCATCATCATCATAAGCATCATCATCGTCATCATCATCATTATCATCAGCATCATCATCATCATCATCATCATCATCATCATCGACGTCATCATCATCATCGTCACCACCACCACCATCATCATCATCAGGATCATCATCAGCATCACAATGATCATCATAATCATCGTCAGCAGCAGCAGCATCATAATCATCATCAGTATCAGCATCAGCGGCAGCATCAACATCATCAGCATCATCATCATCGTCATCATGATCGTCATCATCATCGGAAGCAGCATCAGTATCATCATCATCAACATCATCGTCAACACCAAAATCATCATCGCCGTCATCATCGCCATCCCCATGATTATGCTCTTCCACCATCATCATCATCATCATCATCAGCATCACCGTTATCACCACAACCGCCCCCCTTCCAGTTCCACCACCTCCTCCATGATCAGCAGCACCAGAATCCTCAGCACCACCACCACCACCACCCACCACCACCGCCACCACCATCATCACCATCATAAGCACCATGGTCATCAGCAGCAACAGCAGCATCATCAGCATCACCATCCACGCCATCTATATCACGTACCATCATCATCGCCAGCGCCACCAGCCACAACCATCATCATCGTCCTCATACGAATCCTCATCATCATCAGCAGCATCCTCATCATCATCAGCAACAGCATCATCATCCGAATCAGCATCATCATCGTCAGCAGCAGTATCATCCCCATCAGCACCGCCATCACCATCATCATAAGTATCATCATCAGGCTGTCCAGCACCACCATCGTCATCAGCGCCAGCAGCCTCACCACCAGCATCACCAACGCCTTCATGATCAGCTGCAGCAGAATCCTCAGCACTAGAAGCATGATCCTGCCTCACTCACCACCACCATCATCATCAGCAGCAGTAACACCATCATCAGCATCGTCAGAATTACCATTCGCATCATGCACAGCATCATCATCATCAGCAGCCTTATCATCATCAGCAGCATCTTCATCATCAGCAGCAGCATCATCATCATCAGCATCATCAGCATCATCATCAGCATCATTATCATCATCAGCAGCAGCAGCACCGCCACCAGCACCACCACCGCCACCGCCCCACCACCAGCCCCACAATCACATCCATGCTTCAGCAGCAGAGTCCTCAGCATCAAAAGCATATCTGCATCACCACTCGCCATCAGCAACATCACCACCACCACCGCCACCACCACCCACCATCAACATCATCGTCATCGGCATCATCATCATCACCATCATCGTCATCATCGTCAGCATCAGCATCAGCATCAGCATCAGCATCAGCATCACCAGCATCAGCATCATCAGCATCAGCATCCTCATCAGCGTCGTCATCCTCGTCATCATCGTCAGCAGCATCGTCAGCAGCAGCATCATCAGCATCAGCATCAGCATCAGCATCAGCGTCATCATCATCATCAGCGTCGTCATCATCATCGAGAATATCATCATCAGCCAGCATCAGCAGCATCATCAGAATCGTCATCATCATTATCATCATCAGCAGCAGCATCATGCTCATCATCGTCGTCAGCAGAATCAGCATCATCACCATCAGCAGCAGTTTCACTAGCAACGTCATCATCAGCATCATCATCAGAATCATCAGTGTCATCAGCATCATCAGCATCATCACCATCGTCGTCATCGTGATCGCCAGCATCATCATCATCAGCGACAGCATCATCATGATCATCATCATCAGCAGCAGCATCATCATCATCATCATCATGATCATCATCATCATCGTCATCGTCATCGTCATCCCCATCATCATGCTCTTCAGCACCACCATCATCATTATCATCACAACCACAGACACCCCGCAACCAGCCCCACCATACTCTCCATGATCAGCAGTAGCAGAATCCTCAACACCATGAGCATAATCAGCACCAACACTGACTATCACCATCACCACCACAAACAACAACTACCACAATCGTCAGCAAAAGCAGCATCATCAACATCATCATCATCATCAACATCAGCAGCATCAGCATCGTCATCGTCGTCATCATCATCGTCATCATCATCAGCATCATCGTCAGCAGCAGCAGCATCATCCACCTCATCATCATTATCATCAGCATCATCATGCTATCCAGCACTATCATCATCATCAGCAGCAGCAGCATCGTCATCATCATCAGCAGCATCATCATCAGAGTCACCATCATCACGACCACCGCCCGACCAGCCCCACCACCACCTCCATGATTAGCAGCAGCAGAGTCTTCAGCACCATGAGCAGAATCAGCATCATCACTCATCATCACCACCACCACCCATCGCCACCACCGCCACCACCATCATCATCAGCATCATCACCACCACCACCACCATCATCAGCAGCATCAGCATCATCATCATCAGCAGCATCATCAGAATCCACATTGTCCGCCTCCGCGTGCGTATGCTCCATCTCCCCTTCTCCCTCTCTCCGCCCCCCATGCGGAGAAGCGGGCAGCAGGCGGAAGGGGAAGGGGGAGGAGCCCCTCCCTCATCCGAAGGGGCCCAGAGACACACAAATAGATACACACAAATCCCAGGATCCCCTTATTTTACATATGGTCTGGATTCTCGTCTTCCCCTCCACGTCCAATACTTTCCCGTCTTTTCATGGGAATCGGCGATTATTTGTGTATGTGTGTTCTCCCCTCCTGATAACCACTGACCACTCAAGACGGCCGGGCTACATTCCTGCTGACCCCTCGCGACCTACAGGGAAGCCGTCGATGAAGACGCTGCCATTCTTCAGCGCCTCGTACGCCGCATCTGCGCCAGTCTGGGGGGGCTCGGGGAGGGAGGGCGAGGGCACCCCTCCTCCTCCTAGTCCTCCTCGTCCTCATCCTCCTCCTTCTCCTCCTCCCCAGAGGCGAGAAGGAAATACTGCCTCTCCGAACAGAGGGAGAGCATGCTGCTGCAGGCATCCAGGGATGCGCACCCACTTCTGCGACACGCTCAGACAACGAACAGCGACCACCAGCACCCACCGCTTCACTCCTGGGCGAACAGACACAGAGCCAGCGTAAAACGGCCCTATATCCCTCCTCGAAAGCAAAGGTTAGGCTTTCCCACGATGTGGCGGCGCCCCAGGACCCCAAAACTTCAACGTTCGCGCCGAAAGTGGCGACGGCAAATACAAAAATCTGATCCCGTGGGCCGCGCTTCGAGGGTCGATCAACAAAAAAAAACTTGCGCTTAGTTTCGAGGAGGGCTGTAGAAGTGAGCGCGGAGACCTGCGTCAACATGGCCGTTGCTAGAGGCGCGTTGGCATGTTCACTCGATCAGCCGTCCTCCGCCTCCGTCCCTACCACAGCAAGCCAACACCACCTCCGCCAGTCGCGAGACGCGTGGGAGGCAGCCCGTGGAAGGCGGCGCTCAGGAACGGCGACGCTGCGCCGACTCCTTCTGATGTTCTGGAATGTTGTAGAGATACTAAACAAAAACGACAAAAACAAAAAACAAAACAAAAAACTCACAAAAACAACACAGCACCAAAAAAAACGACGCAGGAGAACGGAGAACGACCGCGAGGCTCCAATGGTGCTCCCACGACTCTGCGGCTGCCTCCTGCTGTAAACGTTGCGCCGACTCCGATTCCCCTGGCGAGCGCACGGGCCCTCGAGGGACAGGCCTCGTGCCGAGCAGTGCGGCGCCGCCACTGCGGCTGCGAGCAGGACGAGGCAAGATCCCGAGGCAGAGCGCCGACGCCATGCTACCGAGCGGCAGCGCGTTGAACGAGGCCCACCCTCGAGGTCGGCCTCGGCGAAGGCAGCACTCGCGGCCGCGAGCGACACGTGGCGCCGACCTAGACGAGTGCGTTCCACGACCCGCACCGTCACTACTCGCAGACGGCCAGGATCGGTCCCGGAGGACTCACGACCCGTCACATCGAGGCAGACGCGTGCCTCTCCGACGTCTGCGGGTAGGCATTCTGCGAGCAGCGGAACGCGCTCAGTGGCAACCAGTGCTACTCTTCCTCTCGGCTCCCTCAGCAGCGGCCCCGTGGCAGAGCGCCTCGCTCGGCGTCGCTCGGGCCGTCCGGGCCTGCTTGATCTCCCTTCTCCTCCCGACCTCGGGCCACGGCCACCCAGAGCAAACCTGTCAGTTTGTCCGCTGCATCTTTGCCCTGGAGGCCCTGAGTCGGGGAACAAAAAGTGACATAAACATAAAACTCGGAGGTCCGCGCGGACTTATCGGATCGGCGCTGGGGCCTCCTGGCGGCGCTTCCTTCCGGCGCCGCCCCTGGCGCGCTCCGCGCGCCAGGGAGGGGGGTCCAGCGCGGATCCGAGAAATCCGCGCGGACCTCCGAGTTTGTCTGTTTACGTCACTTCTTGTTCCCCTAACCCAGAGCACACCTGTCAGTTTGCTATCCGCTGCATCTCCGCCCTGGAGGCCCTGAGGGCGCCAACCAGCGATGCTCCGACCAAGGGCCTGCCCGGTGCCCGAGGCCGACATGCGCTCCAGCCGCTGCGCCGAGCAGGATCCGAGGGGCGGCACGGGGGCGGGCGCCGCCGCGGGGGGCTCCAAGAGACCGTCGCGGCGGGCCCCCTGCTGTGGTTGCCGGTGCCGCTGGCGTCTTGCACCGTGGACGGGACGGGTCGTCTACACCTGCCCTGCTTTCTTCTAGAAAACCAAATGCGAACCCTACCCCTACCCCCCACGATTCCTGAGGGGGAGGGTGGGGTTCACTTCGCTCGAGAGCTCCCGAGCGAAGTGAACCCCACCCTCCCCCTCAGGAATCGTGGGGGGTAGGGGTAGGGTTCGCATGTGGCCCCCTGTCTTCGTCAGTGCGTCGCTGAGAATTCCAACCTGTCAAAACATCCCCCCACCCTGCGATGCAAGGAGCTCCAGAGGCAAGGCGGGAGGGGTGGAGCGAGAAGCCGCTCCGCCAGGCAAGGCTGGGGTCTCACCCAAAATCCACTGGCCCTCCTGCTCCACGCCAAAACGCAAAATGGAACGCTGGCCAGTACGCAGAATGGAACGCCAGGCAGAAGTACGAAGTGCGCGGTGACGCAGTGCTCTCTTGTGAAGGGCCCGGCGGGTGCCGAGACATGGATGGGCTCACCCCGAAAAGAAATGCGCGGAGCAATGGCATTCGAAGACGCGCGTCTCCATGTTGGCATGCTCCAGCCTTCACGCAACCAGCGCAGTTAAACTTCTCCTCCACTTCAGGGCTGGCCCCTGATCGTTAAAGTGCACGTTTAAGAAAGATGCGGGATGGCTTGAGTAGGGCTGGGGGTCAGGTCTGCAGAACATCCCAAACGGACGTCAAGGAGCGCAACCAACCTGTTCGGTCAAGCTGAAACGGATGCACCACACCCGGCGTCAAGCCCAAACTTTGGACACAAGCGAAATGGTTGGACTTTGCACATATTCGTCGGCTTAACCGGCGAGGCGTTTGACCACCTGGGCGACGACCAAAAACGGGTCTTACGCGAGATGACGTAGCGACACGCGGCGGCTTACGCGGGCCGCCAGCGCAGCAAGCTGCGCTCGAGACAAAGACGCTTACGCGCGAGCCTACGCAGGCACCTGGCGCGCCAATGTCGGCGCAGACGACCACGTTTGTTTCCGCTGCTCACCTTGACGTTCCCTTTTTGGTGGTTCTGCAGAGGAAGTCGCTCTCCGAGTCTCGGCCCTGCTCAAGGGATGGCCTGCGCGGGCCTGCAAAGGCTGGCGATCGCACGGGCATCAGCGCAGGTGGTGCCTGCGAGGCGCTTTGCCGTCCCGCCTGCGCAAGACAACGGCTCGTAATGCATGCGATCTCTGCAATGTTGCGGTGCAATCCTTGCCTGTGCGACTGAGGACGCACAAACCACACCTCAGAGGGTATCGTCGAGTCAAATCGATGAAGTCGTGCGTGTACCTTTGTACGCGCACGGAGCAGGCGAACCACAAGCTCATGCGACGGATGCCCGCCCGCCTCAGCAAAAAAAGTTTGCGGCGGCCAGGCCAGAGGAGGAGACGGGGGAGGAGGAGGAACTCTCAACCTCTTCCAGAGCTGAATTCCCGAGGGATCGCACAGAAACACACACACACACACAGACAACAACAAACCCTCCCCCACTCTCGCCCAGCTGCTCCCACCTCGAGCAGCAAGAAGCCAGCCCGCCGCAGCCGTGAAGGCCCGAGCATGCGCGGCAGTGCGATCTGGATCCGTCCCTCCCCATCCCGCTTCTCCCCCGCCTCCGCCTCCCCCTCACCCACTGGCCCCTCCCCCGCTCGCACGCTGCGCCTCCGCCGCCCTATCATCCCCCCCCCCGCCCTCCCCTCTCCCGCACGGCATGGCCAGAGGAAAGAGAACTATGCACATACACCGATTATGGCCAGGCCCATCCTGAGCCCAGGATCGGTGCATACGCCCTCCTACCTTGGCTAGGAAGGTATATGCACCGATCCTGGGTCAAGGATGGGCCTTGCCAGGATCGGTGCATGTGCATAGTTCCCTTCGCCCGAATGGCCCATAACATAGGGCGACGAAGTCGATATACACACGCACGCTGCTCCCTGGGCAGACAGGCCCACCCTGGACATGGCAGCGGGGTCTACGCCACGACCTCCTGGCTTGGCCAGGGGGGGCGTATTGCACGACTCCTGAGCTCAGAAAGGACCCTCAGCCAGGGGGCAGTGGATATGCATAAATCCCACCAGCCATCTGGGTGTCGGTGGTTTAGGGAGTTTCCTCTTCCACCCCTCATTCTTCCCCTTCGGGGAGGAGTTCACCCCTCCCCCTACCCCCTCCCCTGGACCTGGACGGGGGGGTTCGCGAGGTGTCGGAGCGTCCAAAATAGCCTCGGCGAGGAAGCCAAAATCATTGGTTTACTAAGGTGTTGGCCCTCAGCCAGGGGGCAGTGGATGTGTATAAGTTTCGCCGCCCGACAGCATCGACGGCTTGAATATGAGAGACTGCGCGACGTGTGCCAGAACCGAGCTGGGAACAAAAGCGAGCGAAGCGTTAGAGCTCTTAGGTGCCGTCAGCCCCTCCCTGGACTCGCCGAGCATACGGCATCACCGACCCTCGCCAGGCCAACCCTTGGCCCAAGATTGGCGCAGACGCATCCTTGGCTACACTTTTGCTGTTCCCACCGTACTTCAGGACCACATCCCAGAAACATTTCGAGCACCCGGAAAAGTGTCGAGACAGTGTCGAACGAGTATCGCCTCTAAGGGCCCGACACTTGAAAACCCTGAAGTTTCGGTACCTGGTGCTCGAAATTCGGTCCTGATGATCAAGGCTAAAGTAGGTTAGAACATCGTAAGGCCACACCGAGAGGGCACACACGCCGATGCCAGGCCCAGGACGCCCGTGGCCAGGATCGCTGCTGCTGCTGCTCAACTAGCGTCACCTTACTGCTCCCATCCTCGCATCGCATACCCCAGACATCCGATGTCTCAATTCTCTCAACACGAGTGCCCAAGAACTCTCGACACCTACTAGAGACCAGCCTTTGGTCCGAGACCCACGACTGCTCCCTGGGAACAGAAACTTGTGACAAAAATAGAAAAATGATGGATTCACGGCATTGGAGGTCTCAGTCTTCCCCGTTCGGTGGCAACGCATGGGAGCCTCCCATACCATCTTGTCGGCTCCTGCGAATCGACACTAGTCGACGCTAAATCGACGCTAACCGACGCTAAACCGCCGCTATCTTATCGACGCCCAAACGCTAATCGACGCTTATCGACGCTGAAGACGGGATTCCGAGGGTATACGAGGCTCTCATGATCTACTCCCGAAGGCATTGGAGGTCTGAGTCTTCCTTGTCCTCCTTCAGACCCCGTCCTGGGTGGCGAAGCGCACGTTCACAAAGTCCTCGCCCGGGATCCCCGAAGCCGCAGGCCCCCCACCCTCGGGGGAATATGGCATGTGCCGCAGAGGAGGCAGCGACGGCGGCGTTTCGGCGGCGGCGGCGACGTGCGCGACGCACAGGGCCCGTCGGGGCGCGAGGTGTAGGGAGTGCCCAGAGCGCAGCGCAGCGGCGACAGCGACGGCTTGGAGTAGGAGGGGCTCCTCCTCCTGCTTCTCCACCTCCCTCCTCTGCCCCCTCCCCCTTTTCTCCTCCTCCTCCTCCTCCACCTCCTCCTCCTCCTCCACCTCCTCCTCCTGTCCTCCTCCTCCTCCTCCTCCTCCTCCTCCTCCTCCTCCTCATCCTCATCCTCCTCCTCCTCCTCCTCCCACGTCGTGGCACGGGGCCACGAGAGCAGCCCCCCTCTGGACCAAGTCGGGGCGGCCACGGGCGGCGGAGGCCACGAGCATACGGCGGCTTGTGGCAGTGGATCACCTCGCCGAACTGCGCCATCGCCCTGGAGACCCCCACGCGGCTGTGCTGGGGCCTCGGCCGGGAAGCGCAGCGAAGCGAAGGCCAGATCCGCGCGCGTCGCGTGTGGAGAATCGAACTCTATACACCGACGCTTCTTCGGGCCGTGCATTGGAATTTGCACTGGAGAGCGGATCCTGGTGTATACATGTTTCGTTGTTTCCTCGGAACATCGGGAAAAGAGTATACACCACACCACCCCAGCGTCGTCCTCGACCCTCACGAAGTCCTAGGATTGAAAAACCGCCGGCTACTGGTTTGAGGGAGTTTCTGTGGAACTACCGTCATCCTCACCCCCGGCGCGGGGAGCACAGGGGCCCAGAGCGGCCTCCGGCACCGTTTCCGGACAGATCCGGTGGATCCGGTGGATCCGGTGGATCCGACGAATCCCAAACCGGCGCCCTCGCTTGAGACATCCTCACAAAACCGGCCCCGGGGGAGGTGCCCAGAGGAGCCCAGAGCGGCCTCCGGCACCGTTTCCGGACATCCGGTGGATCCGGTGGATCCGCCGACGAATCCCAAACCGGCGCCCTCGCTTGAGACATCCTCACAAAACCGGCCCCGGGGGAGGTGGAGGAGCCCAGAGCGGCCTCCGGCACCGTTTCCGGACAGATCCGGTGGATCCGGTGGATCCGCCGACGAATCCCAAACCGGCGCCCTCGCTTGAGACATCCTCACAAAACCGGCCCCGGGGGAGGTGCCCAGAGGAGCCCAGAGCGGCCTCCGGCACCGTTTCCGGACAGATCCGGTGGATCCGCTGGATCCGCTGGATCCGGTGACGAATCCCAAACCGGCGCCCTCGCTTGAGACATCCTCACAAAACCGGCCCCGGGGGAGGTGCCCAGAGGAGCCCAGAGCGGCCTCCGGCACCGTTTCCGGACAGATCCGATCCGCTGGATCCGGTGATCGACGAATCCCAAACCGGCGCCCTCGCTTGAGACATCCTCACAAAACCGGCCCCGGGGGAGGTGCCCAGAGGAGCCCAGAGCGGCCTCCGGCACCGTTTCCGGACAGATCCGGTCCGGTGGATCCTGTGGATCCGCCGACGAATCCCAAACCGGCGCCCTCGCTTGAGACATCCTCACAAAACCGGCCCCGGGGGAGGTGCCCAGAGGAGCCCAGAGCGGCCTCCGGCACCGTTTCTGGACAGATCCGACGGATCCGGTGGATCCGGTGGATCCGCCGACGAATCCCAAACCGGCGCCCTCGCTTGAGACATCCTCACAAAACCGGCCCCGGGGGAGGTGCCCAGACGAGCCCAGAGCGGCCTCCGGCACCGTTTCCGGACAGATCCGGTGGATCCGTTGGATCCGGTGGATCCGCCGACGAATCCCAAACCGGCGCCCTCGCTTGAGACATCCTCACAAAACCGGCCCCGGGGGAGGTGCCCAGAGGAGCCCAGAGCGGCCTCCGGCACCGTTTCCGGACAGATCCGGACGGATCCGGTGGATCCGCCGACGAATCCCAAACCGGCGCCCTCGCTTGAGACATCCTCACAAAACCGGCCCCGGGGGAGGTGCCCAGAGGAGCCCAGAGCGGCCTCCGGCACCGTTTCCGGACAGATCCGCTGGATCCGGTGGATCCGCCGACGAATCCCAAACCGGCGCCCTCGCTTGAGACATCCTCACAAAACCGGCCCCGGGGGAGGTGCCCAGAGGAGCCCAGAGCGGCCTCCGGCACCGTTTCCGGACAGATCCGGTGGATCCGGTGGATCCGCCGACGAATCCCAAACCGGCGCCCTCGCTTGAGACATCCTCACAAAACCGGCCCCGGGGGAGGTGCCCAGAGGAGCCCAGAGCGGCCTCCGGCACCGTTTCCGGACAGATCCGGTGGATCCGCCGACGAATCCCAAACCGGCGCCCTCGCTTGAGACATCCTCACAAAACCGGCCCCGGGGGAGGTGCCCAGAGGAGCCCAGAGCGGCCTCCGGCACCGTTTCCGGACAGATCCGGTGGATCCGCTGGATCCGCTGGATCCGGTGACGAATCCCAAACCGGCGCCCTCGCTTGAGACATCCTCACAAAACCGGCCCCGGGGGAGGTGCCCAGAGGAGCCCAGAGCGGCCTCCGGCACCGTTTCCGGACAGATCCGCTGGATCCGGTGGATCCGCCGACGAATCCCAAACCGGCGCCCTCGCTTGAGACATCCTCACAAAACCGGCCCCGGGGGAGGTGCCCAGAGGAGCCCAGAGCGGCCTCCGGCACCGTTTCCGGACAGATCCGGTGGATCCGGTGGATCCGCCGACGAATCCCAAACCGGCGCCCTCGCTTGAGACATCCTCACAAAACCGGCCCCGGGGGAGGTGCCCAGAGGAGCCCAGAGCGGCCTCCGGCACCGTTTCCGGACAGATCCGGTGGATCCGCCGACGAATCCCAAACCGGCGCCCTCGCTTGAGACATCCTCACAAAACCGGCCCCGGGGGAGGTGCCCAGAGGAGCCCAGAGCGGCCTCCGGCACCGTTTCCGGACAGATCCGCTGGATCCGGTGGATCCGCCGACGAATCCCAAACCGGCGCCCTCGCTTGAGACATCCTCACAAAACCGGCCCCGGGGGAGGTGCCCAGAGGAGCCCAGAGCGGCCTCCGGCACCGTTTCCGGACAGATCCGGTGGATCCGGTGGATCCGCCGACGAATCCCAAACCGGCGCCCTCGCTTGAGACATCCTCACAAAACCGGCCCCGGGGGAGGTGCCCAGAGGAGCCCAGACCGACCTCCTCCCCGGGGGCGGTGCCCAGAGGAGCCCAGAGCGGCCTCCGGCACCGTTCCGGACAGATCCGGTGGATCCGGCCGACGAATCCCAAACCGGCGCCCTCGCTTGAGACATCCTCACAAAACCGGCCCCGGGGGAGGTGCCCAGAGGAGCCCAGAGCGGCCTCCGGCACCGTTTCCGGACAGATCCGGACAGATCCGGTGGATCCGCGCCCCGGGGGAGGTGCCCAGAGGAGGAATGAGGAGGAGGAGGAGGAGGAGGAGGAGGAGGAGGAGGAGGAGGAGGAGGAGAAGATGATGGAGCTGTGGGGTGGAGGAGGACAGACGGAGGCAAGAGAAGGATGGAGGAGGAGGAGGAGGAGGAGGAGGAGGAGGAGGAGGAGGAACCTCATCCTCGCCCTCGCCAACAGGCGCACGCACCTTCTTCTATATACAGAAACTCCCGATCAACCGCAGAGCGGCCGGCTAGTAATCTATATGTTCCAGTTTACGACGTTTACGAGCGTGGGCGCACGCGCGCGCACGTGAGGGCGTGGCAGTGGAGGCCGCAGCCTCGATCTGGAAGATAACAGCTCGGCGCTGTGATACATGGGCGGCTTCAGGTCATCTCCACCCGTCGGTGCGCATCGAGACGGAACGTCGGAGGGGCTGGATCGGCACAGCTCATCAGCGATCGCGGTGCCCTCATCAAAGGTCGCCTGAGGTGGTGCTATACTGCCTTGGCCCCCGACCCCAGACCCGTGATGATTCGAAGAGACCGCTCGCCGTCTTCAGCGCGGGGGGGCCGTTTCTGCCCTCTGGTCTCGTGAGAAAAACGCTCCAAGGAAAGAGGATAGAGGAAAGAAAACTATGCACATACACCGATAAGAGAGAGACTGAAGTCCAGGGGGGCCTCGGCCCAGGAGAAGCCGGGCCAAGGGAGGTCCGGGCCTGCAGAGGACTCGACCCGAGCACACAGAGGGCGGAGGGGCACTCTGAACAGGACGTCGGCCGCGAGAGCCTGAGACCAGTCGGCGGCGAGCGAGGGGGGGAGAATGAGAAGGCCAAGGCCTGCTCAGAAGGCGGCGGGGCTTCTCAGAAACCCTCGCGCCGTCTGAGAAGTTTGTTTCTGCGCCTTCGGGGAAAGCTTAGAAGACTTCTAAGAAGGCCGGGGACTTCCGAGCCTTCGGAAAAGGCCCGCCCCTTCTCACTTCCCCCCCGGGCTCGCCGCCAACAGAACCCGGAAGAATCTCCAGATAGCCCCTGCAATAACCAAGCGAACTGCGTAAGAGCAAAACTCTCGGATGTCCGCGGGAAGCACTCTGGTCGTCGACGCTGGACCGCCAAGACAAACGCAGCCCGGGAACGACGCGCAGAGACCGAACACGGCGAAACAAACCCTGACTGATACTGTTAAAGATGTTGAAGGTTTGGGAAGAAGAGGCATCGAAGCGTAGGCAGGACAAGTACCTGGCCAGAAGCACGAGGGTAACGAAAGCACAGTGCTAAGGACCAGCCTGGCCAGGGGCGCAGGGCCGAGGCAGGACTGGGCAAAAGCGGGAGACGCGACCTCCTCCTCTTCCTCCTCCTCCTCCTCCTCCTCCTCCTCCTCCTCCTCCTCATCCTCCCCCTCCTCCTCCTCCTCCTCCTCCCCCTCCTCCCCCTCCTCCCTATCCTCCTCATCCTCCTCATCAGCAGAAGCATCAGCATCAGCATCAGCATCAGCCATCAGCCATCAGCATCAGCACCAGCATTAGCATTAGCATCATCATCATCATCATCATCATCAGCAGCAGCAGCAGAATCAGCATCTGCATCAGCATCATCATCATCATCATCATCATCATCATCATCATCATCAGCATCAGCATCAGCATCAGCATCATCATCATCATAATCACCATCATCATGAGCATAATCATCATCTTCAACAGCATCATAATCATCATCACCATCATCATCATCATCATCATCATCATCATCATCATCATCATCATCATCATCATAATCAGCAGCAGCAGCATCCTCATCATCATCAGCAGACTCATCATCCTCATCCTCATCAGCATCGTCATCATTATCATCATCATCACCACCACCGTCATCCTTATCATAATCAGCAGCAGCATCAGCATCAGCATCATCATCATATTATGATCAGCATGATGGTCATCGTCATCATCATCAGCAGCATCATAATCATCATCATCATCAGCAGCAGCAGCAGCTGCATCGTCATCATCATCATCATCATCATCATCATCGTCATCATCGTCAGCATCTCATCATGATCAGCATCAGAATCATCATCATCATCATCATCATAAGT